CGAGGAAGAAGTGGGGGAAGAAGTGAGAGCTCTGGGGTTAGAGCCGGTATCTTCCCAACCTAATCACAGAATTAGAGACCAAACACTGTATTAACCAATGTTCTTTATACACTTGATAGAGGGTAAAGTATATAATTGCTCTTATTTGACATAATACAAATTTATATATAATTTTAAATGATTTTAATTACTTCACTAAGAATGTACTATTTATAAAGGGGATGATGTTTTCTTAAATTTAAACACTTCGGCACAAAACTTTGTTTAGTTTTAGTAAATTTGACTTTGAAGTTTAGAAATTAGTTTAGTAAACTTATTCTTTTAATTACATTTCTGTTAGCATTCACTAAATCATTTTAACTTGTCTTTCTTACTTTAATTTATATAGTTTGAATATTGTGATTTATGTTATTATCATAAAAATTTATATCTTCCAAAGTAAGACTTGATGGTAGTAAACTAGAATTAACCTTAGAGATTTCTTACTACACTTCTCTGTGGGATCGATACTAGGGCTTTTTAAAGAAAACTTTATATTACTTAAAGCGATACGTGCACTTGCGTAGAACCCCTAGTGTTTGCACATTAAATACTTAATATAAATTAAATAGCTTCATCAAATAGCATTTAGAGCCCCATAGTGCACGAAACAAGCCTAACACACAAATATTACTGATTTCATGCCTGGATTAACCGAATCTAACACGGAACAATGACATGGCACAAAAAGAAAAAAAAAAAAAAAAAAGAGAATTCAATAAGGGAGCAAAGGAACAAGAAAATAAAAGTAGACTGATATTTTCTCTTTCGAATGATGAGCGATTTATCGCAATCTATGTTACTCTAATACATTATCTAGAAGAAACAACTACTAGGCTACCTCCAATCCCTAACAATTACATCCTGCAAAGCATGAACTGAGATAAAATGCTAACCCCTTCCATCATTACCAGAAAAAAAAATTGATACTATTGCAATTAAGATTAAAACCACGAACAATTAAGTCAAAAAAGAGTGCAAGAGGGCACCGTCATCTAAAGTTGCAGCACTGGGCTCGGCCTCGGGCTAGTTTATCCCATAGACAGATCATTTGCCTTGGAGATTGGTAATGTGAAGTGTAATAGTTGTCCATGCAGCCATACTGGCAGAACTTCCAGTTATGTGAGTATTGAACCGGGGTGGAAGCATTGAACTCCTCAACCCACATTCCCATGCTCACATCTTCCATCTTGAACATCTGTTAAGAACTTCACATGGTAAGTAATGCAAATGTTTATGGTCAACAGATGTTGATGATTTCATGGTTATCAAGCCTACCCTCAGGGTTTGATTGGCATGTTTAGCGACAATAAACCTTGCAATGTCGCTCGAAATTACATATCCAGGTCCGTTGGCGTATGGAGGATATATATCTTCCGGCCATTCCTGCATTTAGTTGAATCAACAATGCATAAATTTTGTTCAACGAAATAATGAGTGATTATTACTAGTTTGCTAACAGTTCTTATGTATATGCATATCAGACACCTAGCCTTCTGACTTTTACATTTATAGCAGTTAAAACTTTTATATCACATAAAAATATCATTAATACTAACTTTGAAAAGTTAAATAAACATTTTCAAGCATAGGTAAAGTGTTATGAATGTAAAAATTAAAGTTTAGGTGTTAAGAATTGTGTGGAATGTATGTAAATCTATCTAAAAAAATAATTATTTTTCATCAGCTAACCTCATATGTTACTGCCCATTTTCCATTCCGAAGCGGCCTGTGCAAGAGGTTGAGATTACCCATATAAAGGGGTTTCTTGCCGGCAGCATTATTCATCTCCCTGAGTACAACATCTAGCCTAACAAATGTGTCATCATCACATTTCATGATGTATGCAGCAGTCAGGTTTTGTACCTGCGGAATATAGGGACCTCAGTTGTGTAACGTAACCAAAATTTCATGAGTTAACCACACATTGGCAGAAGCGATTGCACATGACATTTGAAGAAAGATGAGCACTAAGGGAAATTTATCTCACCCCAAATTCACAAATGGCAACAGTTTTTAGAACCACTAGTTCATAGCGATCCATAAAGGGTAGGATGACAATGTCTCCAAAATAATCTGCTTCCCTCTTTAGAACTACATTAACCTCCATCCTTGGACTCTGTAAATAAAGTTTAAAAGAAGTATCGAGGTTTAGTATGCTAAAAAGTGAAAAGCAAAAGTTGGAGAAAGTGTACTTTGCAATAATGGTTCTTTAAATTTTGGGGATTAGTTAACATTTATTCTGAACTAGATGCATAATTATCTTGGTCTATCCTTACCTTCGACATATTTCATATTAATTATACCTCCCCGTATAACTTGTCCTAATGTTCTCCTCTGAACATACACAAATTACTCGAGAATATTTTTAATGATCTTATCTTTAATAGACTAAATCCACATAATCTTCATAACACCGCGCTTCTTCCCAGTTTTACATTAACGTCAACCTTCTCATTTCTATCACAACTTGGTTCTCCTTGACTTTCTGAGTAGCAGAACTGTCAGATGCTCACAATACATCAGGAGGTGATATCAAATATACCTATAAAATTTACATATTCTTTTATTACTTCATCACTTGAGACACCTCTCTAGTTTAACCATGAAAGTTTGATTATGCAAGTCTACAATTTCATTCTATATTAACTAGAAGCACAACCTTGTGTATAATTTTTTTAGCACGGGCATAAAAATCACATACATTATTTGGACGAATTGCAAATTAGATGTTTACAATTAAAAAAATTAACTAGCAGGAATTTATCAATCTACTATAATATATAAAGACATTTGAAATTTCAGGGGGTGGGAGGGCATGCACCTGCTTCTTGATTGGGACTGATACTTTTGTGGCCCATATAATAGAGCCAAGCTATTTGTCCATCACATGAAGTTATCATCCTAGTACAAGATTAGTTGACTATGTTCAATATATGGTAAAAGTTCATCCCATTTTTAACAAATTATATGCAACTTATCTTCTGAATCTTACCCTATCATGTTGCGATGGAATATGCAATAATGCGAAAAATAAAAACACCAATTCGAGAAATCCAAAATAGAAGAGATCAAACAGAAACACAATAAAGTAATCTAAAAAAAGAACACAAGGATTTACGTAGGCTAAAATTAAGCGGTAGAAAATCACGAAACCACAACACAAAAAAAATTCACCATGAATAGGAGAAATTTACATATTACAGCACTCAGATTTTCTCTCTAAAATCAAACTTACAGAAGATTGCTTCAAACCTTCCTCTCGATCTCACAACCCTCACTATGAAATCAAACTCCCGACAATTCACCTTCGCAAAGAAAACTATTAAAAAACACCACACACGAGTAAAGTCCTTCGTCGCTCGAATCAAAAACTTAAGAACCGAAACAAGATAACAATCTTTCTTAGCATAACCATGCCGAGACCAATATAATTATTCCAGGCACTCGTTCTTTTGCGTGATCATGAGAGAAGCAACAACATAACTCGCCTGGTTGCAGCATAGTCATGCCGCCAAGTGTAACTATGCCCATTTCACTATGCCCATTTCAGGTGTAGCTACACCATGCTACAGGCGCAAGAGCGCCCCATTGGAGGCGCAAGAGTTTGGATGTTATGTGTTGCAGGCTTCAGATTCCAAAAATCTCCTACTTGGAGGCAGATAGCACATGCTACATGTCCAATAAATCTGCATCTCCAACTGTACCATTTGTATAGTGTTGCACCGTAACATGGTGTACCCCCGGTCTCAACCATCATGGACTTCAACTGAAACCAAGCATAGCTCCAACTTCTTGATAGTCACCACCTTAGTCAACATGTGTGCAGCATTCTTAGTATGTATCTTCTCCAAAAGTAACTGCCCATCTTCTAAGAGAGGGCGAATAAAATGATGTCTCAGCTGGATATGTTTTACCCTAGCATGCAAACGAAGCTCTTAACAAGATGAATAACACTCATATTATCATTATGAAGCTTTCAAATCTTCCACTCCTCACCTAGTTCTGTCATAAAGCCATATAGTCAAATCATCTCCTTACTACCCTAAGTGCTTGCAATATATTCGACCTTCACAGTGGAAAGGCAAATAACATTATACAGTCTGAAAACCTAACTCACCGTTGTGTTCCTCAAAGTGAAAATATACCCTGTTGTACTCCTATCATCCAAATATCCTGTCAAATATGAATCTATAAGTCTTTATAGACTGATCTCTGCAATTCCATAGTAAAGAGCCTTATTGACTTTTTCTCTCAAATACCTGAGAATCCTTTTCAGCATCTCTCAATAATGTGTCTGAATTGCCCATGTACCTACTGCATATGCAATATCTGATCTTCTATAAATCATAATATACATCAGACTCCCAATTATTAAAGCATATGGAGTTCTTCTCATTTATGTTTGCTCTGCTTCAGTCTTAGACAATAGTTCCTTAGATAGCCTAAAATGACTACTCAAGGTGATGATTGGTTTTACCTTGCCCATGTTGAAGCTCTAAAGGATCCTCTAAACAACTTTAGTACACATCTCATGTTCCTGTCGATTCTCATTCCTAGGATCTTTCTGTTTGAGCCTAAATCCTTAAACTTGAACTCACTTAATAACTTTAAATCACTGATTCTCTCTATATAAACCCAATGCAATCAGCATGTCATACACATATAAAAAAATAAGAAATCATAATTACTTGAGTTTTTGACGAAGCAAGAGTAGTCCATCTGGCACTTCATGCACCCACTGTCTGGCATTAAACTATCAAATCTCTACAACACTGTCTCAGGACGTGCTTCAAGTCAAAGGTTTTTCTTCAATCTTCAGATTAAATCTTCTTTCTTTGAAACCTCATAACCATGCGGTTGCAGCACATATAATTCTCCTTTATATCTCATGAAATAATTTTTTACATACATCTGCTCCAGATGTAAATCTTCCTCTACTGCCAAACTTAGCATAATTAAGAGGGTTTTCATCTTTACAACAAGAAAAAAATTTAAGTGTAGTATAATCTTACTTCTGTTGAAACCCCTTCACAAAAATTCTTGCCTTAATGCCCCTGCTACCATTTGACTCATCTTTCAGCCTATAAACTCACTACTTGTGAAGTGCTCTTTTGTCATTTGAAAATATTGTTAAATCTCAAGTCCAATTTGACTCCAAGGACTACATTCATCATGCATGGCATGCTTCCACTCTTTTGAATCTTTAACTTAAGTGACCTCTTTAGAGCACTTTTATTCACCACTATTTGTTAGCAATAAATAAAACAAAAGAAGAACAACTCTGTGTTAGCATGATGTCTTTGCTGGAACTCTCGACATCAGTAGCAGGTGACTAGGAAACTTCTTGTGTTTCATCTAATTGAGCACTTCTTCTTGCTCCTCCCTCCTGGCCACCAGTGTCTTCTATCTCAACATATTTGAACTCTTCAGAAATGTCTAACGAGCAATCCTAAGTTATGATTTTATCCTTGTATATCTCCATTTCAATGAAAACAACATCCCTGCTCTTTATGAACTATTGATTCTGATAGTTCTAAAATTTATACCCAAATTCATCTGATTCATGCTCAATAAAAATGTACTAAATAGATTTCAAGTCAAATTTACTCTTGGCTCCTACATCAATATGTACATATGCAGAACAACTAAATACCTTCAATTGAAATATATTTATCTTTTTGTCACTCCAGACTTATTCAAGTAAGTCTTCCTTCAGGGGTACTAACGAACCACGGTTGATCAAATGCACTGCAGTGTTCATTGCTTCTATCCAAAACAGACTTAACAAGCTTGCATGCAACCTTATACTTGTGTTCATGTGCTCAACTACTCTGTTCTGCTATGGGGTTCTTGGAAAAATGAACTCATGTCTGATCTTCTCTATAGCATAGTAATTCCTAAACCTCTGACACGATACTTGCCCTTCTAAACACTTCAATTTCAAACCTGACCATTTTCTACTATGGCCTTTCACTTCTTAAAAAATTTAAATACGCCACATCTTGTTTTAAGAAGTAAACACATACCTTTTTGGTTGATCTTGAATAATGTGAAAAAGCAGTGGGAATCTACTGGAGAGTAGGATCCCACACATCAGTATTTTTATTAGAGTTTCTTTGACTTCACCATTGACCAAGCTTTGGAGAAAGAGAATTTCTTATGGTTTTCATATACACATTCTTCAACGAAATTCAAATCTACATATTCAAACCCTAGAGTTTATTCTTTGAAAGTAGAGACTTCAAACACTTTTCGCTTATATGGCCTGGCCTACAATGCAATAAACTTGCAGCCTCCATGGGTCCAGCCATATTAATGAAATCTATCATTTCATAGATGAGGTAAAGAGCGCATTCAATGCTGTCATGAGTCATCACCGTTGCCCTTAATCATCTTCCACGAGTCACATGTGACAGTAATCACGTACCCTAACAACGTCAGCTGCCTCCAGAGAACAAATTTCTCTTCAGACTTGCAACATGTCTGACATTACTAAGCTTCCAGCCTATTTCATTTGGTAACTTGATATCCACATAACTCTTTTCCACGATGTTGCAAGCAAATTTATCTCCCAAATAAAGCTTCCTTAGATCGCTCTGAGTGTAATTTTTAAACACCTATTTGTTGGAGCATGCATGAAAAGAGGGTTTTGAATCTACTATTCAAGGTTTAGTACTAGGGATAAAACTAGATAGACACCTTAAATTTCGCCAGTGGAGATTTGTCGAGATTCCTAGTCCTTCACCACCAACATTCCTTAATTTTATAGTCCTTAATTCTCTGTGGTTTTCTCTGCTTGATATGGATTTCTCTCTTTTAGACATGAATCTGTCATGTATTTTGTCAAGATTTCATCCCCTATTTTCAACATTCAATGCGAAACCTGAAGATTCATCATTCAATATATTCTACAAACTTCTTCATTCAGCACCAACCCCATAATATCATAGAACCTCAACTTCATATACAAAAAAAATTACTCACTGTCATGGCCAAACCATCACAACTATCTGATAATAAAGACTGAATTAACAATATTGTCACCTCATCATCAAATTTGATCCATATAACACAACTAGATAGTTACAGTGTTGAAATTGTTCAAGTGATTAGCCA